ACGAAAACCGAGCAGAACTTCTACTCGAGAAAGCGGATCTCTCGAGATTCTCGGGAAATCTCGGGAGTCTCGGGAGTGTAAAACTTTCTTCCCACCTTGGATATGAAAACCGGGCCTTTGGGATGATTCCGAGGGTTGAAACGCAGAGCTTCGACGCGAGAAAGGAAGGAAATTAGCAATTTTGGCCGGCACCCTCGCATGCTATTTATAGGGGTCTGAGGGGGTTGCGTTACGCGGGGCGTACTTAGAGTACGCGCTGCGTACTCGTGCGTCATGCATGAGCGCATCCTCGGTCGAAACATTGGAGCGACGTGGACGAACCGGAGCCTAGCATCCGAGTACGCTGGGCGTACGACGGTACGCTGGGCGTACGAGGGGTCGGACCGGTGACTCCTCCTTCGGATAATATCGGGATTTAATTTAATTTATATTTAAATTAATTAACAAACTTCAAAAATTCATATCTTTCTCATACGAACTCCGTTTTCGACGTTCTTTATATCCACGCGAAGGTGAGACTACGATCTACAACTTTCGTTTAGACTCCGTCGGCTAGTTTTTGACTTTATTTTTAATATTATATTTTTAATAGGTCGGGACAGGAAAAGTCCGTTAAAGTTCCATAACTTCTTCATCCGACGTCCGTTTTCGTCAGACTTTTTACCGTTGCGCTAGAATTGTTGATCCCTTTGATTCTCATTTAGGTTGTTTTGGCCAAAAGTCTCTCGATCTCTATTTCGAGTTTTTAGCTGTCTACTGCTATATCTGCAACTTAGAAAAATCACAACTTCCTCATACGAAGTCAGATTCGGACGTTCTTTTTATGTACGGTTACGGTTTGACGATATCTATGACTTTCATTTAGACACCTAAGGTCAAAAAGTGTTTTGTTGAAACTTTGCATTTTTACGTAACTTCGTATTGCCGGTTTTTGTCGGGAAACTTAGAATGGTCATAACTTCTTCGTTATAACTCGGATTTTAGTGTTCTTTATATGTATAAAAACCTTGTTACAATATCTACCACTTAGTATACTTAATTACGGTTTTATAAAATTTTAAATTTTGACCTGAATTTTGCTGTTGTTACATTTAAAAAGTGAAGGTGGGTTGCACCTGATCCCACATCGGCTGGGAAGGAGAACTAAGCATTCCTTATAAGGGGTGTTGATACCTTCTCTATCACAACGTGTTTTAAAGCCGTGAGGGCAGCAGATCACATAAGAACTCAGCAGTTAAGCGTGCTCGGGCGGGAGTAGTACCGGGATGGGTGACCCCCTGGGAAGTCCTCGTGCCGAGTGGCCCAAAGCGGACAATATTGTGATACGTGCCAGAGGGGGGTGTTATAAATGGTATCAGAGCTAGGGCACGGGTCGATGTGTTCGACAGGGACGTCGAACCCTATAATGGGGGGTGAAGGTGGGTTGCACCTGATCCCACATCGGCTGGGAAGGAGAACTAAGCATTCCTTATAAGGGGTGTTGATACCTTCTCTATCACAACGCGTTTTAAAGCCGTGAGGGCAGCAGATCCCATAAGAACTCTGCAGTTAAGCGTGCTCAGGCGGGAGTAGTACCGGGATGGGTGACCCCCTGGGAAGTCCTCGTGCCGAGTGGCCCAAAGCGGACAATATTGTGATACGTGCCAGAGGGGGGTGTTACCCAAGGTCTTGCTAAATTATTCCGCATTTAGGGCTATTATTCATTTATTAATTTTTATCTTTCTATTTAATTAATAAATAGAATGGTACAATCTCAACCTCATCATACCATGTCGACATATACATAACAAATAACAAATATCCATCAACAAATAATCATATAACTAGTCATCAGACAAACATGCAGATGTACATACCACTACAACATAGCAACATCATATATATCATGATACATATGTAACAGTTCACTACAACATAGTTACATCCTCTATAATGGGATACATAATCTAGTGGGCCGAAATTGGTGCCTTTGACCCATAAAAGTATAGTGAGGAAAAACTCATCTGAATCGAAGAACTCTGAAACACTGCGATACGATCCATTTTTTGCACTGCTTGCACTTGAGAACCCACTAACACTAGAACTAGATAAAATCTCAATCAATAGTCCAAAATCCTCAAGTTTGACCCAAATTCAAACTTGATCAAAAGTCAATGGTCAACGGAAATCAACAATAGTCAAAGTCCAAGGCAACTAAGTACTCCCAGCGTACTCCACGTATGTCCAGCGTACGTGATTCTAGGCCAATACGTGCAGCGTACTCTCAGGTATGCCTAGTGTATATATGACCAAGATAATTCCTTTCTTTAGTGCTTAATCCCTTAAGACCTTTTGTCCAGAGCTCAGATCTAGACTCAAAACATCGACTTAAGTCATAAAGTTTCCAACTTTATGACTTTCCATGGCTAGAAAAGGTCCAAAAGCTAAAACCCTAACTTATTTATCCATTAAGACATCTTAACTCTTTCATGGAAAGGATGGGAGGACCAATATCATCTCTTTATGGTTCCTAATAGCTCCATAATGGATAAAGATTCCAACTTTATCCATTAGAATGGTCCAAGCAACCAAGATCTAGTATTTTAAGTTTCAACGGGACCAAAATTGCATCTTTCTTATTTAATCTATTAAGTCCGAGTTTCCAACCTTTACATTTGAATCAAAATGATATTTAGATGGATAAAGTTTCCAACTTTATCCATAAAAAGGTCATAAACTTTCAAGATTTAAACTTTATGCACTAAAGTGATCAAAAACTAATAACATCCAAAACTAGCTAGATCTAACAAATACATCATCAAGATTCAAACTTTATACCTCTAGAAGAAAAATCAAGGTGAACAAGGTCTGGATCTACAAACTCCAATGCAACCAACACTTCTCCAATGAGCTCCTTCTTCTCCAATTTGCACCAAGAATGCTCAAAAGCACTTAAAAAGACCTTCTTTTGCTCACAAGGCTCAAATAGGGTTAGGGTTTCAATGGAGGATGTTGGAGAGGTGGAGTCTGAGAATAGAAAGGGTTTGGGGAAGTTGAGGAGCTTAAATAGGGCTTAAAATCCTCAAAATTAGGGTTTGGTGTTGGTCGCGTACGCCCAACATACTTCTGGTACACCAAGCATACAAGATTAAATCTTGCGATCATTCCTGCCTAGTACGCCCAACGTACACCCTGTGCGTACTAAGCTAAACCTAAAACCCTCCTAACTTCTAACAGCCATAACTTCTTCATTTCAACTCTTTTTTTTTTTTTTTTACAATCTTTATATCCACGGAAAGGTATTGAAGAGCCCCCACAATATTATCTAAATATCTTGGACTAAAAACTTCTCGAACAAAAATCCATATTTCATGCAAGAATACGCCCTATGACTTTTCCCTTTCTACCCTTCGACACAAAATACAATTCATGATTAAATCTCTTAACCATCATTTCCTCCTCCCACAAGGACTAAACTTTACCTACTTAAGGCCAAGAGCCTTTACACAATCGACTTCCAGCCCACGAGCCTGAAATAAGAAATAACAGGAAACATGATGTTACATGGTAAGTAGTTGTATGTGCCTAGTGGGAGTTTGGTAGAGTCAATAATCTTGGGTCTAGACCTTGAGGTCGGGCTCTAACTTCCATTCGTAGGCTTCAAAATCGAGGGGTTGTGGTTGATTCTTTTATCAGAAGCAGAATTGGAAATGAGATTGCCAAAAAGTTATAGAAATACATATGGCATGGTAAGATTTTGGCGACTAGATTCCCAAGATTGTTTGAGCTTGAGTTGGATAAGGATTGTTTTGTTGTGGATAGAAGGGCTAATGGTGTTTGGTATTGGTCTTGGAGAGATCATATACACAAGGGTGAAGAATTGGTCCAATTTTCGGCTATGTTGGAAAGTATTCAAGCAGGTGGGTATGGGATATGGGTACTGATACGGATTTGTCTTTCATAGTAGGAGACATTAGGATATAATGTGGTTTCGCCTTCGTTGGGATTGGAAACTAGATGGAATGATTTTGTTCCTAGAAAGTAAATATTATGATATGGCGTGTATTGTTGGATAGAATTCCAACTCCGATTAATTTAGCTAACAAAAACTTGGAAGTCACTTCAGTTGTATGTCCAATTTGTCAACTTGAAGCGGAGCAACTTGAACATCTTTTTCTTAGGTGTAAAGTAGCAGCTAGAACTTTGAATGTTATTTTTTGTTGGCTCGAGATTGTTCGTTCGGATTTTGATGTTGTTCATGAGTTATTTAGCTTCATTGATAACGGCTCGTTGAATTCAAAGAAGAGAACAGTTGCTGATGTGATTGTTTGTACTACTCCTTGGTCTATTTGGATATTTCAAAATAACATGGTGTTTGGAACATAAAAGATTAGAAGAAATGAGGTTATTGGTTCTATAAAAGAATTTTCTTTCTTGTATTCAAATAGGAAGAGTAGATGTTCGATAGTGTGGGTTAATTATTGTAATTTTTTTCTAGCTTCTTGCTAGTTTTGTTTATATTATATATGGTTGGTTGTTTAAAAAAAATCTATACATTTAAGAATAAAATGTGTGTTTATGGGAAATTACAGCATTGCTCATCTATGTCGATAATATAACTCTTTCAGTTTGTGCAACTTCCGTAAAAAAAAAAAAAAAAAAAAAAAAAAAAAAAAAAAAAAAATCAGAAAGACATGTTAAAGACAGCAAGCATATGCATACAATAAATTTGAATGTAGGTAGCTATAGCTTTATAGTTTCTGGTGAAGTTTATTTTTGTTATAGTATTTAACATGTTTTAATGGAGAATCAATATCATGAATACATGTTTCTGAATGACAATGAGTAGATATTCGTTTATCATGTGTGGTTGCACATGCAGTTTTAAAGTAATCAGTCGTCCTGTCCAGTATCTTATTAGCACATGTAATAATCATGCATGCACTTTTCAGACCATGTACCTGTCAATTCTGTGATATTTTTGGAGAGATTAAGAGCATATAAAAAAGTAGCGTCATGCACCCGATTCAAACTTATCTATTAGTATTATCATACATAATGAAAAAAAAAAAGCACACATCGAGACTCAATAAAAGATTTATTCACAATTTCACATGATTAAACAAAAGAAAAACAAACCCAACAGCAACTCAGTCAAACATCAGCACACAAAATCAAATACAAATACGTAGGTAATGTATTAGTGTGAAATATTACGATATTGCCCTCAGAAGTCCCTATCAGGGAAGAGGTGAGGGGCAACCATAGACCAGATGAACAAACCGGCAGTTGCCCAGGAGGTTATGATCCGGACCCACACAGACGGCCACCCGACATCCACCAACCGCCCGCTCTCCCCAACCGAGGTTGACCAGCCAGTGAGCAGCATTGCTGAGTACATGCTGGCAAGAGAAAAGATGATGTGGAAGAATGAATAGGAATACGTAACAGGCTTAGCAACATTCTCTTTCTCTTCATGCTCATCTCTTTTGTCTAATGGCAACAAAGGTTTCTCCCCACCTGAACATGAAATATCATATGATTAGAAAATATAAAAAAAAATGATTTAAATCGAGAAAGTTTAGTTTTAGTTTAGATTACCAGCACGAGGGGAGGAAGGAGGGGAAAGGAGAGTTGTAGAGGACCCAGCACGCACAGCAGAGTAAACCACAGAGAGCACAGTTGTGAGCAGCCCAACAGTAAGTGTCCCAGTGCTCACTGCTTTTGAATGCTTGTGAAGACCATTACACGCATAATCCCTTGGTTCACTTGCAAGTCCACTGTAGCAAAGATACGTGCAATACAAAGATATAACCGATGCTGGCAGAATGCTTCCACTTACCTATCATTAATAATTCAAATCAACACAACTTCTATCTATAATAATAAAACATAGTAGAAATGAAATAGCTAGAGGCTTACTGTTGGATGCAGAGTGATAATGGCAAACACAAAGACAAGAATGAGGGTCATGACAATAAAGAACGTATTGAGCCCACATTCCTGTCCAGATGGGGTAAACAAATAGAAGAGAAGTCCAGAGAAGGAGAATGTTGCTACGTAACACACGAGTGAAACCACAAGCAAGGCTGTATACCTGCATCCATCACATGGTTTATAACAAAAATAATGTTGTATATATAAATATTAAAGAAGGATTGAATTTAAGTTGTTTGTGAAAGGTGAAAACAAATAGAACAAACCAGAACTGTTCATCGTATCCAACCCATGTGTCATTCCAGCTATGAACAAAGTCCAACAGGAGCACAACTTGTACAAGGAGAAATAACCCTGACCCAAATTTTGATGTTGACTCTGCAGCAAACACAAATGATGTAAAAGTTTGACTTGTTGAAATGAATAAATTGAGAAAGGAAAATTTGGCTTACCATAAAAGCTAACGATCTCATTTGGGAGGAAAAACATGAAGATTACCAAAAGACACCAGCAAATGACTTTCATCATCCATCCACCATGGTGTAAACTGTCTCGTGGGTCTTTCTGATTCTTCACCCCGACCATTAAAAGAGAAAGAATTGAGAAAAACAAGAAGTTCCCCAAACTAACTCTCAAAACAGCATCAGTCTCAAACCATTCCCTATCTGGTGTTTGGTGAAAATGATTAATCCCTGCATCAAATATATTATAGCACAAACAACATTATATATATAATATATGTTTTTAGTAAAGATTGGAAGGAATCAAGGAAAGGATCTTAGACTTACATGGAATCTTCTCCATAAGTGGTGCAGCAACTTCTCTTAGAATCCAAGCAACAATGAGAGAAAGAGCAAAGAGACCACAGTAAGCAATACGAGCAGACCTACGGCTAATCCCTGACACAACAGTCTGGCATGCATTGCATGCGCATGCTGCACAGCAGGAGGCAAGGCATGAAGCTGCCCACATCTTTCTTTTACTCTTCTATCACTAATCAATATTCACTGAACCTGATAATTTGATACTTGTTAGAGGCCTTAGCAATAATCAACAAACAAGATAGAGTAACACTTAGGTGAGTGGAATTCAAATGAAAATATGGCAAGCTTACTCGCAAAGAAACAAGCTTAGTATATTGTAAATCTAAGACTAGAGCAGCTCAATGATGCACATGTATGTATAATTATACACAGATGCATGAGGTGGCATACATCATGATGATTAAAAAAGAGTGACATCAAGTCATCAAGTTAAAGAAGGGGAAAACGAAGCTCTCTTATTCTGGGGACATGGCCATAGATAGGAGGTAGTGGAGTAGTACATATACGAGTTGCTTATATATTTTTGTGTGTATGTAGCTACTTATGTATTTCATTTTATTTATAACTATTAGTACTATATCTAGTTTTAGTATTTGCAATCGCATAATCTTTTTGACTCACTTGTGTCTGGAAGCAGCTAATCTATAGAGGAAGAATGTCTACATCCAACCTACCCTTTACCCTACAACCTTATGGGAACTAGATATTATTGTTGTTTGTTGTTCAAGTTAAATAACAGTAAATGGAAATCCAGGCATTAGGAATTTGATGACAGTTATTATGCCCTAACTAGCAAACAAGCAAAAACTCAAATAATAAGAAGCAAACACGACCATAATTGTAATTCCCCAAACCCTAACCTAAAACATAAGCAGTTCACTGATGCAAAAATCTAAATATAGAACAAATTTCTCTCTATTCTGATCAACGATCGATATTCACCGAACCCCATAATTCAGCATCAAATCATCGAACACAGTATCAAAAAACATAAAACAGTATCAAACAACTCGTGGACTTTGAAAATTGGTGAAGACTTTGATACCTTTTGTTTGAAATAGAACGAGTATGATACGATAAATTGCGAAAGCCAAAACCCTAAGATATCAACAAATTTCAACAGAACGCACAATTTTAATTAGATGATTCGGTGTTACCTATTGCGATTGAACGAAGAACAATGATGATTGTGAAGACGATCCGATGAGAATAACGCGAAGAGAGGATAACTTTGACAAGGGCTTTGAGTCTTGAGGAATGTTTTTAACGAACGCACTCGGCTGTTACGTTAGCAACAAAATATAAGGAGGAGGATCAGAGGGGGTGAAACGGTAGGTACTTGAAACTCAGAGCGTCGATTTGTAAAACATTTTGTAAAACTATAAACAAAACTTCATAAATGGTACCTATGGTTTTCTAAAATTTGGGCTTTAGTCCTTAACTTCAAAAAACTTCATAGAAGGTCCTAATGGTTTTTAATTTTTATTGGGATTGTTCCTTCACCCACATAAAAAAAAGACTTTTTACCTTTTTCATTTCCTTTTATAATTAATTTTCACTAAACCTATTTAAAAAAAAACACAATAAATCGAAGGGACCACATCTCTCTCTCCCTCTCTCCCTCTCTCTTTCTCTCAAAATAAATAAATAAATAAATAAACTTCCCCTTAGGGATGAGCAAAGAAACCGACCTGGCTAAAACCGGCCCTGAAACCAAACTTTGTGGAAGATAGGAACCGAATCGAACCGTCGGTTCTACTGGTTCCGGTTACTACTGATTCTTGTCGTGTCTTCAAATGTTGGAATCAGTCCTCGAGAAATAACAACATACGGTTCCGATTTTTCCGGTTCCCGATTCCAAAAATCCACAAGAATAACGTCCCGGTCCCGGCCGGACCGGTTCCATCAGGTTCCGGTTCTGCCCGGTTCTGTAACGATGAGATTTTCGAAACAATTTTTTTATTTTTCAACAGCCTAATATATATATATATATATATATATATATATATATATATATATATATATATATATATATATATAATATTCTCAAAAAGTATTCCACAATAGTTGTAACATCTCAAAAATACGACCCAAAATTTTTGTTTAAATAGTAATAAAAACCATATATTGTTTGTCATATCATAAAGACCATGTTTCAAATATCTCAACTCATAATAAAATGCCGTGAAACAACTGTATCAAATCAAACTACAAATCAACAAACTCCCAGGATAAAGACTGAAGTTGTGGTGTGTGCGATGTCATCATCCCGAGCTCTTCCCCTTACTTGCGGAAGTACCTGAAACCAAAACTAAAACTGTAAGCACGAAGCTTAGTGAGCTCCCCTAAACTACCACATACCATACAATAACATTTAAACACGTATTGGGCCTTGCCCACTGCCTCGGGTCGAAGCCCGGAAACTGTATCGAACCGAAGTCCGGAACTGACTGGGACCTTGTCCCCTGCATCGGACCGAAGTCCGGAACTAACTGCATCGGACCGAAGTTCGGAACTGACTGGGACCTTGTCCCCTGCATCGGACCGAAGTTCGGAACTAACTGCATCGGACCGAATTCCGGAAACTAACTGAGCATAGCATAGCATAGCATAAACACATATCAACTAGCATAACACACATGATCATAAACTCATATACTGCATACTACGTCAGGCCATAGCGCATAACACCTAACACATAAATCCTGTCTGAGCCACGAAGGAATCAAACACACCAACAACTGCATCAGACCGAAATCCGGAAACTACTACTAACTAAACGGGACGGCGTTGTGGCCTTAGACCTGTTCTTACTGGAAGGAAACTCACCTCGTAGCCTAGCTGCTGAAAGGTCTGCTCCGGAACCTGTTTGATGCGTCTCCGGTTTCACCCAGGCTACAATATCCATGAGTACCATCAATCAAATACTGATAATAATAATACTGAGGGTAAAATGACTCTCCTACCCTTGGTCCAAGTCAAACTAACTATCAAAGTCAACATGCAGTTGACTTGACTCGTCGAGTTGGGCTGCCAACTCGTCGAGTTTTGGTGCAAACTCGGCGAGTTCCCCTTCGCTACTAACACTCTGACAATCTGCATCCGACTCGCCGAGTTGTATGAACAACTCGTCGAGTTCTCCTTCCTCAGATGATCATTCTAGCTGTGACTCGCCGAGTTGTATGAACAACTCGTCGAGTCTGTTCTTGAAGTATGAAGATGGCCTTGGACTCACCGAGTCAGGGAATTGACTCGCCGAGTTCTTCCACAAATGATTCTAACCCTCTAGCTCACCGAGTCCACTTCTCACTCACTAGTTCCACTCGGCATAACTCGAAAAAGGAAACACAGGGGACTCGCGACTCGACTCGCCGCGTCAGAAGAACGACTCGCCGATTCGTATGCATGCAAATACTATACACTCGATTCTCCTTGAAACTAATCCATGCCATTAATAGATCTGGGTTCCTGGGACTTGATTTACACGTAAAGTTTCCAACTTCACGTGTAAATAACATCAAATGGAGGTTTTAAGGTTAAAAGCACACTATAATAGTAGATCTAGAGCTTTCATGCAAAATGGATCCATAAAGGTGTTGGATCTAAGCTCCTGGAAATCAAATCTAGCTAGATCTGAAGGTTAATCAACTCCATGAGTCCTCTATGCTACTACTAAGCTAAGAAATGGTTTAAGAATGGCTTCACAATGGAGATTTAAGCATAGAAACAGAAAAGGGCCAAGATATACCTTACTTTCTTCTGAAATTCCTCAAAGATCTAGGATCTCCTTCTTCTCCTCTTGATTTACCTTTCTTTATCTCTCAAAATCTTCAAGGAATACACCAAAATCACACAAAATGCAAAATGGGCTCTAGGGTTTCGAGAATGAAGCTCTGAGGGGTGATGGGGGCTGACTTGAGGCCCCCAAAAGTTGTTTATATAGGGTGCAAACCCTTGAAATTAGGGTTTCATCCAGACTGGCGGACTCGCCGAGTCGCCAACTTAAACGTTCTCGAAATCGCGACCCAACTCGACGAATCCAACTACTGACTCGTCGAGTTCCCCTTAAAACTTGAAGAAATATAACAATAAATAACAATATAAATATCATACCAGAATTGGGGTGTTACAATAGTTATCAAATCAAAACATATCCCAAGATCACAAATCAAATCTCCTCTCTGTGTGTACGGGTCACGCCGGCGCCTTTCCACGGTCATCGCTAGTACCTGAAACACATAACACAACAACTATAAGCATAAATGCGTAGTGAGTTCCCCAAAATACCACATACAACACATACGCCACTCGAGGCTACTGTACGACCCTCTGGTCGATGTGTCCCAGCGGGACCCTCCGGTCCCGTAGCTCGTTGGACCCTCTGGTTCGGTCATAGCTCGTTAGGACCTCCGGCCCGGTCTGTCTCGTTGGACCCTCCGGTCCGGTCTATACAATTATATATCATACATACATCATATATCACATAATCTCATACATGGCACACAATCTCATACATAGCACATAAGACCTTCCGGTCAACTCATAATACCACTCTAGGTAATTATTGTGAGAAGATTCACCTCGTGTAACTCGATAACTCAGAAATCTCGGACTCCGTGAAAATAGGATCTAGCCTCCGCCTAATCATACAAAATAAACACTCGGCATCAACACATTTCCCAAGGCTAGACCATTCCCTCTCTTAGCACTCTCTGGAAGGTAAAAGACCATTTTACCCCTCTCAAGGCCCAAATACTATAAAGTTGACCAAACCCTAAAAGTCAACAAAAGTTAACGTTTTGGGGTACGCGGCGCATACCAGATCTGTACGCTAAGCGTACTCGGCGGCTTCACAGAATCGGGGTACACGACCCCTTACGCCGCGCGTACTGGGATTACGCCCAGCGTAACTCCCAGCTTTCTCCTCCTCTTCATTCAGGTCTTAATCGGTTAAGACTTGCGTCCAAAATCCAAATCTGACTTCTCTAATACGACTTAATCCATAAAGTTGGTGACTTTAAGCCTTTCCATGGTCGTAGAAGTCACAAACACCCAAAACACTCTATTTCCAACCTTAAAAGGTCCATATCTCATGCATGAACAACCTTTAACAACCAAGACTGGATTTTTATCACATAACAACACTAAATGAGCTAGTATGGGACAGATCTCGGCTTCTAAGAGCTCAACCACTCAAAAAGTTATGAACTTGGGGACCAAAAACCCTAAAACTTCTCTCTACAAAACATGAACATAAAAGATGCAAAGCTTGAAGCTTTTTACCTCATAATGATGCTTCTTTCACTGCTAAACTCGGATCCAAAAGCTTAAGCTCTAACTCTTCCTCCTCCAAGGCTATCACTTTGCTCCAAATGGCCAAGAACACAATACTAAGCCCTCCTAGACACTCCCTTGCTATATGAATGAGATTTAGGGTTTTGAAATGGTAAAGCTTTGGAAAAGGTGGCCAACAAAAGGGCCTTAAGGTTGCTTAAATAGGGAGGCTCAACATATTAGGGGTTCTCTTCTGGGCCGGGTACGCCCCGCGTACCTGGAAACCCTTCCTGCTCAAGACGTGGACGAGTACGTTGAGCGTACTGATGGGTTTTGGCCATATGAACATTCCTATGTGCAAATACAAACCCTAATGCTTGGATCTAGGTTTCTCTAATTGAACATGCATTGAATCCAAGACTTTTGAACAATAGATCTAGGTCACATTTTTATAGTTCCTAATGACTCCATAATGGATAAAGTTTCCAACTTTATCCATTAGAATGATCCAAACAACCAAGATCTAGTCTTTAAGTCTCAAAGGGACCAAAAGTGCATCTTTTACAACTTAATGCATTAAGTCCAAGTTTCCAACTTTATCCATAACAAGGTCACAAACTTTTGAGATCTAAACTTTATGCACTAAAGTGACCAAAAGATCATAACACCATAAATTAGCTCGATCTAACAAATACATCATCAAAATTTAAGCTTTTTACCTCTAGAAGAAAGATCGAGGTTAACCAAGTTTGGATCTACAAGCTCCAATGCAACCAACTCTTCTCCAATGAGCTCCTTCATCTCCAAGATGCACCAAGAGGACTTCAAAGCACTCAAGAACACCTTGTTTTTGCTCACAATGCTCAAAATAGGGTTAGGGTTTCAAGGGAGGGTGTTGGAAAGGTGGAGGTTGAGAATGGAATGGGTTTGGATCATCTCAAATCAAATAAAGCATAAACAAATCGGTCTTTTCTGACCGTAAAATTGAGGATGTCACATTGCACATGATGGTTTAGCTGGCCATATAATGATAATCATCTCAAAGAACATGGAAAAAAGTGTTTTTTTTTTTAATCTTTGGTGGATGTTTTGATATGTTTAGGAAAGTGTTTAGATGTGAATGGAGGCTGGAAGGGTATATCATCCCATTCCTATGTAAAGATTTCTCCTTATTTTTAGATTGCGACTAAGGTTCTATATGTATGTTTAGGGAAGTGTTTGGAAGTGAAAGGACTTCTTCAATTAGGAAACAAAAAATCTTGTAAAATTCAAAAACCTAGCCCTTTAGATAGGTAAATTAAACCTACAATGTGCAATGAGCCTTCATTAATTTTGGATTTTCGACCATAGATGTATTAACTCTAATTTCAAGGTTGATTATAACATAGATAATGTCGAATTCGTGAAAATTCATAATATGGAAGTTGTAGATAATTGTATCTTTTTTCAAATTATATTGAACCAACTTAATCACAGTTATGAGGAGTCAAGATGCGATCAAAGACATACTAAATTCAACAACATTCATTTGTCTTTATTTAGGCCGTTTTCATCATTGAACTTTGTCTGCCTTTGCATTGCCTATTAGGGGCAAGGAATGGTCATAGTTCGTTGTTTATGATAGAAAATATGTATAATGATGTATGAATTAAGCAATAAAACACAGTTAGCACTGATCACATATCCATAGGTAGTTATACTTGATAAAAGTGTGAAAATAGAGGATACAAGGTACAAAAATACTTAATAAGATAATCATCATTCCCCATCAACATGTACTTGTATTAACGAATAGATTTCATATGTATTAATAAGATAATCATTAGTCAATCTCACCTATTAATACCGAAGCTTCAATAATAATAAATAAATTATATTATGATAAAAAAACAACATAAAATAAATAATTCTAAATACATTTTAAATTCAAGCTATATTGTATAGTAAATATGCTAAAAGTCATATTTATAAATAAATACTACTTGTAATTGGAGGGAGTGAGGTTGTGCTTGCACGTGAGTCGAGGAACTGAAGCTTGTGATAAGTGACACCAAAATGGGAAAGGTCGAAGTCGAAAAGGATAGAGATGAGTGAGATCAGTTTGGAACGGATTATGTCAAGAACAGAAGAGCCCACAAGCGAGAGCGTTTGGGCAGAACGTGAGTAGGGTGAGGGGTTGGTGAATAACAAAGGGGATGGGGTGAGGAAATGTTGTGAGATAGGTGTTCGGTCACACATGTTGTCTAGGAACTCGTAAGAAGGAGATTGAAAAGACGATATTGATTAGTAAGGAAGCACAATCGCATCAAAGACAACATGTTCGAAGTGATGATTTGTTTGGAGTTGAGGTTAATGTAATGAAATCCTTTGTGTTGAGAAGTGTATTCGAGGAAAACACAAGGAGCAGATCGAGAGTCACGCTTACTAGAGGTGGTGAAATATGGGTAACATAACATCAACAAACATGAAGGTGAGAGTATTGTGATTGGTGAAGCGAGAGATTGGGATATAACACTTTGAATAGAAGATGATAAAAAAAAATACTAGTTGCAAGTTCGGTTCGGGTTGTATAACCAAAAAAAGATTTAAAGTTTTTATAATTGTACTCGATGAAGTCTTGTATCTTGATATTAGTTGTGGGGTCAGGACCCGACGGACGGGTAATTTCCAATTTGTGCAATTGTGTATCACCGTATCAATATATACCTTGAAGTGGGAGAAGAACGACGTGTTGAGAACACATTTTTTATTGTTTTTTTTCTTTATTCTAATATTTATCTAATTATCTTTAATTTGTATTGGACTATTTTTTTATTGGATTATACCTTAAATGAATTTGATGCCTATTAAAACATAAAATGTGAGCTTTTGAAATTTTGATTTATATATATTTTGTTGTAAAAAAAACATTAAGGTCATCCACTCCAAGTTTTTAAGATGGGTTACAATTTATATTTATTTTTAATCTCTTATAAAAGATGAAAAAAAAAACCAGATCAAGTGACCCACCTTTTATACACATAGACCAGCCAATGATATTTAAATGGTGTATAGCCATGAAAAGAGCTTCCACCAATATTTGGATGGCATATGGGCGTGAAATAAAAGGGTGGGAACAATGTAATTTATGGACCGAATCATACATTTAGATTTCCCAACTTGTTGGAATGTGTTAGGAGATAAGATCCGAAAAGCATCCCAACAAGTTGAGACATAAAATACAAGCAAACAAGTTTTACAAGGCCTCGGTTTATATTTTATTTCTTACAGGTATGTTTCACCCGACCACTATGATTGAGAAATATTGAAGGAACTTATACATGAAAACTAAGAGGAGATAAATTAGGAATTGAGCATAGTTTTCTATCATGAATTGTATATGAGTTTGATTTGATTTTTATTTACTGTCCAATTTTAAAACGCAGTGATGTCCCTATACTAGTTTTTGAGATGGGAAGGGGTTTATTCTCAATATATAAATACACGTTCATTTATATATTTTGTTATTTGATGTCTAAACCCTGTGTGATTCAATGTATAATATTTAGTTTTTTTCTATTGAATGTGAGGACCCAAAACTCCTAGAGTTTCAAAAAGTTCTTGAGAATCAATGTAATTGAGCTCATCAAGATCTAGGGTGAGAGGAATAAAGTCTTTGATATTGGTAATACAATAGGGTTTCTTTGTCACAAAAGATTCCGTCATCGTCTATCAAGTAGAGATTGAAGAGCAAGAGAATTATGACTAGAAAAATAATCACTCCTATACCATGTAATTGGATTCAATCTCGATGATTTGATTAACAATATACAAGGGTTGTAAATACAGGAGAATCGTGCCAAACAGCTGAGATATATACAATACTATTACTAACAAATCATGAATCATACAAAAATTCTTTCGCAACAATCTGATTTTCTGATATCAAATCTAGGCTGTTCAAAATATTATGAAGTTGTATGATTGTGGTTTATTAATTTCGAAAAGTTTGTTAAAAAGACAGATTAATATCACAATTGATAATTCTATCAACATTACCTGAATCGAAATTATTGACATATACATATGTGGTGATGATAAAGTGTTATATTAATTATAACGAACTTAACCTTAAAACATGTAAAGGTTAGCATAAAAGAAACTATGATGATGCCATTACACTTTTTTCATCGTTATTGGTTTGGTGTTCTATCATATGTCTAGACTTTAGCCCACGCGAAGCATGCGGTTACAAGATGGAAAAGAAAGGAATGAATCCACCACAAGTTTACGCACATAAACTATCTAAAACCTTATGATTCCTTAATAAAAGAAAGAGAGAAAAAAAAAAAAGACCAATCACAAATTTCTTCTTCATAAATTTAAAATAAAAAAAGAGAGAGGGAGTAGAACACTAGAACTTGATATTAAAAAAAAAAAAAAGTAAAAATGTACCACCATATAAAGTAAACATACTTTTTAAATAATTAAAGAACATACAAAGTTAATAGAAAAATAAACACTCACTTGTACAACTTGGCATGCCATCATATTGTGAACTAAATGTATCATTTTAACCCCTATGATTCCTCATCACTCACCAATTGCTTTTCGTTTTATATATACACATCAAGAATTAACCAAACTAAAATGCTTAAGCTCACCTCTACCTTTACCCTACCCACCAATAACCTCATTATGTTAAAACTAAAAGGGACTAAAAACCTTAAAAAAAGTTAACTTCCTTTCATACTACTTTTCCCATAAACAAATAAACACACATATCACAACATCCTCTGACAATCCCTATTGTCCAATGGCCACAAAAGCTTTTAGGATATCCCCTAAATCCTAAAAACAATGGTTTCTACCTCAGAAAAGCTCTAAAAGTGGCTACAATTTAAACATCAGAATATTAGGTCAACTCAGTTCTGTAGCTATCAACTTCCACCAACAATTAGTGAACATCTACTCATCATTTGTGCACCCATCATGGACAAAACTATACTATAGTCCCTCCAAGAATCATGCCAAAATCCACTATTCACACTAAAAAGGGACTTTAACAGAAAACACCCATTCAGCATTTAAACACTATTTCACTATCTCAAATGTAGGCAAAAGCACCAAAGAGATATTACCTTTAGACAGTGTGGAGCTTCCAAAATGTTCTTCCAGATAAAAAAATTCTCCTTCTTTTTCTTCTTCTTTGTGTTCTTCATGTTCTTTGTCCATGTGTGTCCTCAACATTCCCTTAAAACAGATAAAGATGCGCTTCTGGAATTCAAGAAGAGTATAAAGATAGACCCGTATTTGGTGCTTTCAAACTGGAATGAAACTACTGAAGTTTGCAGTTTTAAAGGAATCCATTGCAATAATGGTCATCGTGTGAGGATAATCGAGCTTGTTGAATTTGGACTTGTGGGCCCGTTTTCACCTGTTATCTCAAACCTCACTGCCCTTCGAACAATAAATCTTTCAGGAAACAATTTCTATGGAAAAATCCCAGATGAAATCTCGTCCTTACGCCATTTTAGAAACCTTCTTCTGGAATTCAATAGTATAGAAGGTCGGATTCCAGAATCTTTATCTTCTTTATCAAACCTCACTATTCTTAGTCTTAAAGACAACAGATTACAAGGAGAAATCCCACCTTCTTTGTTCTCAAACTGCACTGTTTTGTCAAATCTTGACCTCTCACATAATTTCCTAGTTGGGAAAATCCCTGAAAATATTGGGGATTGCTTGAATCTTTGGAATCTCAATTTGTATAACAATCAGTTCATTGGTGAAATCCCTTTTTCTTTGTCAAATGCTTCAGATATGTTCAATCTTGATGTGGAGTACAATTATCTTTCTGGTGAACTTCCATCAAAGCTAGTCTCGAAGCTTACAAAACTTCTGTATCTTCATTTATCATATAACCATATGGTCAGCCATGATGAAAACAGCAATCTTGATGTCTTTTTTACTGCACTTTCTAACTGTAGTATGCTACAGGAGCTTGAGTTAGCAGGTATGGGGTTAGGAGGAACCCTACCTGATTCCATTGGAAGACTCGGTGTTAATTTCAGTCAAATGTTGCTACAAGAAAACAGAATCTATGGTTCAGTTCCACCCGTTTTTGCTAATCTTTCAAAGCTAATGTGGTTGAATTTGACAATGAATCATCTCAATGGAACAATAGCACCAGAGCTTAATGGGTTACCAGCACTAGAACAGCTTCTGTTATCACACAATGCTTTCACAGGTGAAATCCCAGAAGCAATTGGAGAGTGTCTTCATTTGGGTAAACTTGAATTGTCATATAACAAATTCACAGGTGAAATCCCTGAAAGCTTTGGGAAGTTAACTGGTTTGGGGTCACTTTCCCTTAATAATAACCAGCTTTCAGGGAACATACCTTCAAGTTTAGGAAACTGTGTTGTTCTAGCCAATCTAGATCTGTCCCATAACAGATTAACTGGACACATACCTCCTCGATTATTATCAGCCATGACACGAAACGGGATATTCTTGAATCTTTCTCATAATCACCTTGAAGGACCACTACCGAGTCAACTCAGCATGCTAGAAACCATCAAAGAGATCAATCTTTCTTTCAATAACCTCACTGGAACCATCTTCCCTAAAATTTCGAGTTACATGGACTTAGAGTTTCTAGATTTGTCAAGCAATTCATTTCAAGGCCAGCTTCCAGAGTCTTTAAGCATGCTTACACGTCTTGTAGCGTTTGATGTATCTAATAACAGGCTATCAGGAAAGATTCCAATAGGTTTAAGCAACATCCATACCCTTAAGCTCCTGAATCTTTCCTTCAATGACTTCCAGGGTAGAGTTCCTACTGGTGGCGTTTTCAATTCGGTCACTAGTCTTTCCTTTCTTGGAAATCCACATCTTTGTGGCCACATTTCCGGCCTTCAGTTTTGCTCTCACAAGAAAAAATACTTGCGTTCGCCGGGGTTTTTAGCAGTATTCTATGTCGGAATAATAATATCAGTCCTGCTAACAGTAATCTGCTGTGTGATCGGATGGCGTTACCTGAAACAAATCGTTAGTTCTAACGCGACTCGGCCGGAGCCGAATTCTCAACCGGAATTGACACGTAATTTTCCACGAATCACGTATAAGGAGCTCGCAGAAGCTACAAACGGATTCGATGAACAGAGACTACTCGGATCTGGAGGTTATGGTCGAGTATACAGAGGATCGCTACCAGATGGAACACAAATAGCAGTCAAAGTGCTTCAATTACAAACAGGTAATTCCACCAAGACTTTCAACAGAGAATGTCAAGTTCTGAAAAGAATTCGTCACAGAAACTTGATAAGAATCATAACCGCGTGTAGTTTACCTGATTTCAAAGCTCTTGTTCTTCCATTTATGGCGAATGGAAGCTTGGATAGTCGTCTATATCCAGATTCAGGAGGATTAGGTTCAGGTTCGTCAGATCTAAATCTGATTCAAAGAGTGAACATCTGCAGTGATATTGCTGAAGGAATGGCTTATCTCCACCATCATTCTCCGGTTAAGGTCATACATTGTGATCTGAAACCCAGCAATGTTCTTCTTAACGATGATATGACAGCTTTGGTCTCTGATTTTGGTATAGCAAAATTGGTTATGACGATTGGAGGTGGCACTGAGAATCTGGGGAATTCCACAGCAAATATGCTTTGTGGATCGTTCGGCTACATTGCACCAGGTTTGAATTTATCATCCATATTACCATTAGTTAACGGGTAGATGGCAATGGCACATATGTTTTCATCATTATGTTTTTATTTATCTTTTTTTTTTCTTCTGATTTTGAAACTATTTTTTAATTCATTTTAAAAATATTAGGTTTTTTATTTTGACATCGTATCCTTCGTTTTTTTTTTTTTTTTTTTTTTTTTAATCTATGGATCAAAAGAATTGGTTTGCTATACAAAAAAACTTAGCAACATAGTTTGGTTCCTATTTACCTTCTATTTATTGTACTTTGATAACTAAGTTATATCATTTGTTAAATCTTGGTTATCTATAAAAAGTTAGACAACTACATAAGATTTTTATATTTGGTTAAAATTAGTAAAACTTTGATGTTATAAAAACAAGAAATCATAATATAAGCAACAATTATGAATGTGCATCAAAAGTATAACCGTTGGATCTCATTTTATCATTTCAGTTAGTTCATATACCATAGTTTTTAATTTTTAATTTTTTTATATAAGAAACTTATCTTTATCTATCATATTATGTAAGCTAAGAAATGATAATTTTGTTACAAAGTTATTAAAAATATATATAGTATTGATTAATAATGACAAAATGGTAACATTTGTTCACTAAACATGAATTGTGAAACATTACATGTATACTTTCTTGTATAGAGTATGGGTATGGATCAAACACATCAACCAAAGGAGATGTTTACAGTTTTGGGATCCTGGTTCTCGAGATGGTGACACGAAAGAGACCAACAGATGATATGTTCTCCGAAGGGCTTAGCCTTCACAAATGGGTCAAAAGCCACTACCATCAACACATGGAACATATAGTCGACTCGTCTTTGGTACAAACTACAAAAGACCAATTAGCCGATGTGAAGAAAATGTGGAATGTTGCCATTGGAGAGTTGTTGGAGATGGGTATTTTGTGCACACAAGATTCACCATCAAATAGACCGACAATGCTCGATGCTGCAGACGATTTAGATAGACTCAAAAGGTATTTAAACGGTGATACTACTGCAACTTTCGCTTCATCTCTCGGTATATCATCTTCGACCATAAGTGAAGATTAGTAACACCGTGTTTTTTAATGTACGGACCAAACATCATTTTAATGAATTGGTGTATGAACTTATTATGTAGAAAAATATGTCACATCGTTACTTTTTTGCTTTATTTTAAACGTTTAAACCAAACAGAAAACGAAATTGATTTGCATTGGATTTCACAATTGAGTTTAGTTTTTTTTTTTACCAACAATGCTAAATATGGAAATAACGACAAACTTGTGTAGCAATATATCTTACATCACATTCAGTAACCTTTTGTCTATTGCTTTGGAGAGAACGATCTCGGATCACTAAAACTATTATGTTTAAACAAGATAGATTATAGGCATATTCCTTTCAAGATGTTCATTTCTTGGATGGAATGAGATGATTTTGAAGTTATTGTCACTAATGCTTGGAATGAAAACTTGCACACGGTTTCACAAAACAAGCACAATAACTTTAAAAACCAGTTAAAGAATCAGAAGAAAGTGCAAAAAGGATGCCAAGAAAATAAGTGTTTCAAACGGGATTAAGAAATACAGAGCGAATCGGTGTTATCACCAAGCTTCGATAATTGTAAAAGATTGGATATGATTGATGTTGCTCAATAGGCAAAGATTAAATGGGGATCTGAAGGTAAAGAAAACTTGAAATACTTCCATGGGATTCTAAACAGAAAGCGCTGACAACTCTCAATGAAGGACATAAAAAGAAGGTGATTGGATTACCAAGGCAAGTGCAATCAAAGATGTGTTTTCTGAGTTCTTTAAAAACAAATTCAGTAGGTTTGTCGGGATAAACCTTCAAAACTACAGCCCAAGGTTTAAGACCTTGTCTATGACTCAAGCTTTTCTTTGGAAGTTAGTTTAAAGTTCAAGAGGTTAAAGAGATGGTGTGGGCTTGCGATAATATCAAAACGTGAAAATAGGATGGGTTTTCTTATTACTTTTTTAAAAAAGAATTGGGAAATCATGAAGGATGATGTTATGGCATACATTGTTGATTTTTTTAAGCATGCAAAAATCCCTATGGGTTGTAACTCCTCCTTCATAACCTTGATCCCAAGGCTCACAGCCCTAAGTTGGTTACAAATTATCGATTGATCAGTCTAATAGGCGTGCAATATAAAATCATCGCCAAGTTGTTGGCCAACTGGTTAGACTGTATTGTTGATATTGTGACCAAAAACATGTTGTTTGATAAGGTTAATGATCGAATGTGTTCAATGATAAAAATTATAATTTTAACCTTCTGCACGACTTCATGCTGAATGAAATAATCTTGTTTTGATAAATCATTAATATGTCTTGTTTGGTAATTAGGAAACAACGAATGAACGGAATGAGATTAGTTGACGAGGAGAAAAACACCCTTTTTCCAAAAAATGTATACACTTTCATAATTTTTAAAACACTATCATCAAAACGTTAATTTCTATTGTAACATTTGTTACGTGGGACTAACAAATTGCACTGTGTGTTTGGTGTGCATTAGACTAATACCAATATTAATGGGATATAAATAACAAGCTTTTCTCCCCCACAAAAAATAATAATAATAATAATAATAATAATAATAATAATAAATAAAAAATAACTTCTTTGGTACAGCGCGCAGTTCTCTCGATTCGACTAACAAATAAATAAAATATAATTATATTCATGTTATATGATATGATACATTTGGTGCAGTAGTTCATTTTCTTCTCCAAGATACTTATACTAACGAGTAACTACATAAACAATATTTGACGAAAACAACACAAAATAAAACAAAAGAGGATGCATGATGGATCCGTATGATGCTAGCTTTACAAAATGACGCGGGAATTTAAAAAAAAAAAAAGGGGGGGGGGGGGGGAACAGACTTACTTATGGTTCTTGTGAGCCATCTTCATCATCGATATTTTCAGGCTCCTGAAGCATATTCATGAGCATATCCACCTGGTTCTGCAGCATTGTATTCTGTCGTTCAACATCTGCGCGTTTGCTTCGTTCATCAAGCAGTTGGAGTTGAAGGTGTTCAAGGACACGTGCATCTTCTTCTAACTGCTCGTTAAGTCCGTTAATCTCTCTGTCCTGTATTCACAGTTAGATTCCATACCATATATCTATATCTATACATAAACGATACATTGTTCAAAGTAAATGTTATAATAGGATTAGAATGTTGCGCGATTATATTGCAAAGCAAATTGCATTTTATTTTGATGAAATTCCTATAATTGATAAATTTATCAAAGTATAATGTCGTAATAAGATGAAACAAAAGCATAATGCTATACCTCATAGCAGTCTACTTTCATATTATTTTTTATTCCAACATTATATTTGGAAAAGTCCATCCAATTATAGCAGTGCAAATTATATTGTATTTTGATGATGTTGCTACCATTGGATATTTTTTTCAAAGTACTATGTTGTATTAGGAGAAAATGAAAGTAGAATGTTATGATAGCTAGTTAATAAGGCTGTGTTGCCGTTTTATAAGCGAGCTTATTTTTTAAGATTATTGCAAAAGTAGCTTATTGTATCATAGTACAAGGTTAACATAGTTACTGCTTCTTGTATATGTTATTGTTTCTTGCATTTAACCATTTTCGTAGAAATATACACAAGGTACAAGGTTGTATATCTCATAATAGCAACAGGGACCACATTTAAAGACTAAAGTCCGACATGTGGCCTGCTCTTCTTTCGCACACATATAAACGGGATATCAATAAGAAAAAAATGGTGAGTTGCTATCTGTTTATCTTCAGTAGGATTGTTATGATTTTTATTATATTCAAGTACAGTTTTAGACTAAAAAGGAATAGAGGATAAAGATGAGTAGGATTAGTTTCTTTTAATTATATATTAAAATCCAATTATAATAAGAAAGCGTCCAAAGGTACAATACCTTTCTGTTCATTTCCTGTACTGCAATCCTGCGCATGCTTTCAACAACATCCACATTTACAAGCTTCCGTTTCTTCCCAATTAGCCATCCACGAGGGTAACTGGCAGTGTCAAAGTCCGGTGGAGGGAGTAAGGATTCAGCTGAAGGTCTTCTACCACTCAAATCCATTATTGGTTCCAGAGGTTCAAAAAGAGCCTTACGTTTCTCAGACAGAACTGTGGGTGGAGTTGATAATGATTCTTCCATTTTTTCATCTGTTGTTGTCACCTGCTCTTCCTTCTTCTCTGAAGTCTTATCACCTTCATCTACCATGTCCTTGTACAAATTCTTCGCACTCGCTGCAACCAGAAACTGCTAAATCAATTTAATTCATAACCCTGAATGATCAGCAGTAACCAGATGATATCTGTCAAAACTAGAACTATGAATCTATTTGTAATTAAATTTTCCAAAACTATTTATCCATTTTACAATAACATTTTGCAAATTTGGCCACCTACTCCCTATCTAAATTTGCTCCGAAATCATGATCATCAAATATTCAAACTGCCACAACATGTGGATGCACAGATCTACTACCGTACGTAATTGAATCAACAACAATAATAAGAAGAAGAGAAATCAATCACAAAATTACTCAATTATGCTTAAAATGATTCACGAAAACGCATACTCGTATTCAAACTCGAATTACCTGATCTCTTCCGAGATTTCCAGAAAACAGGAGTAGAAGACACCGGAGAGAAGCCATTAACGACGCTATTCTCCGACTTCTTTCCGTCATCCATTACTCCGTCAAAATTCGCAACTACGAATCAACAAAATCGAGCAAAATTCAACTAATTCCACCAAATCTCTTCTCAAAAACCTCACGTACACACAGTTGGCGGTTGAAAAGACATGGAAACAGCAATAGATGAGAGAGAATTTATTCTGGTTATTCTGTCTGAGCTGAGGCTGAGTTGTTGAATTGTATAACGTACATATGTTGTTCACCGATGAGAAAATATTAAACGGTGAGATCGAGGAAATTGGACGAACGCGATTTGGCGGTGGGGTCTTTTAAGTATCCACGGCGGATCGTTTGTTGTCTCGTTTTATCTGTCTTGTGACCGAAATGACGAAAATGCACCTGGGTTTCCAAGACACGACGGAGCAAGACGGGTATATAAAACGATCACATACAATTGTATTATTGCAACAAAGACCCTCCAACTAATAAGGGGTTGGCAAAAATCAGTAAGTACTCACATAATTGAAAAATCGAACCGGATAATGATAAGCTATGTTTAATAATACATTATTCTGTATATAATTAGCTAAATTTTGTAAGAAAACAATCCATACTTCATGTCGTAATTTAATAATCATGCGAAAGGTTAAAATAAAGAGACTAATAAAACAGAATCATATAGGGTCAATTTGGTTGGGTCTTGTCGAGTCTTATAAATGTTAGTATTTGAAGACTGGTAATGTAGTAATGTTATCATTTTTATTTGAAGGGTATGAGTGTAAAACTTTAAGAACTTAATTAATGAGTTAAAAATATTCAATGGGTCTTGTTGAAATAAAGCAATAGTATAGGGGGTATTATTTTGATTTACTCGAACAAAAGAATATTCTCTTGGTGTCAACGGCCGTTATATTTTAAGTCACGCTCTTTTCTCGTGTTCTTGTTTTTCTTGTTTTTTGTATTTTTATTTCCCCACATTTAAAACTCCACACGTGTTGAGATAATGAGTGGAAGATATAAAACATTAAATATTTTAAGATAACCTTAAAATAAAAAAATAATAATAATAATTAAAAAAAAAAAAAAACCCATGAAAGTCCGTAAAAGGCTTAAAAGTTTAAGGCTTGTCATCTAGTAAAAAATATTACGCGGGGGTATTTATACGCGTAAACATCTACGTGGAATCTACGTGGAGGGGATGTTCACGCGTGAACACAGCTCCCAATGGTTGTAGTTGTGGTGTGGAGTAACTAGCTTCACGGAACGAGAATTTTGATTGGTTACCTCCAATTGAATGCATTCTCATTGGTTGTTCACTAGTGAACACCATTTCCACTCTATAATGAATGAATGGTGAAAAGGGGTTGATGATGATGTGGCAGTCCTTTAACACGTAAAATCTCAAAACCATACCTCATGGCCTTAGCAAAGATTTGTTTGGTACCTCAAACAAGACGAGACATAATAATATCCTTTTACTGAGCGTTTGGTATGGACAAGACTAAGATAAAATGAATTGTTGACCAAGTTCAATGGGACTAATTCTCTAAAATTTGATAAAATTAACAAACTAATGAATCACACAATGCAATATTATAAGATGAACAATTATCTTGAACAAACGAAGGAAACTCTTTGATTAATCACTCATAAAGGTGACAAATTAAATGCTTAAATATTAAAGTAGATATAAACAAGATCCGGAAAAACTTAAACCTATTACAACAGCTAACACAACTATATATACACAATTGAGATAGAGTAGCAAATCACCGTTATAAACAAGTCATAAACAAACACGTAGGTGTGCACACGTGATTAATAGCTGACATCTCACACTAACCTATGCTAGCCTAAGTAATAACCATATACCAAATGAGCACAAAATGCTCTAAAAATTACATCGCTATCAAAACTCTTTGCCTTCACTTCGGCACAACTTCTACAAAAGATACTTCGGAGTCTTCATTTGGCTTCGGACTATCACAACTAAATACTTTGAACTCAACATACTCAGCAAGGATTTAAGTACAACCAACCACCAAGTCAAATGAACAATGATCTCTATTTTGTCCTTCTCAGAATTAATGTCGCATGTAGTAACATGAACAATGAGATTTGAAATTGTAGTAATTGGGAATCTCTCTTTATCATAGATTTTAAAGAAAGTTTTATGTTGGTGATTTTATTGTCATAAGACATTTTGTGTAATTGGAATTAATATGTAAGTTAAGGGGCTCATATTATATGTTTGATGTGTATGAAGTACATGTATGTATAAGATCGAATTATAAGCCGATACGACAAAATGGTGGGGGTCAAGGGGGTTGCGTCCCCGCAGGGTCTTAAGGGCAGAGCCCTTAGTTGGGTCCAAGGGACAAAGCCCCCGGTGGTTGTCAGTTTTGGAAACCACTGATTATGTCATTAATTTCGAGATATACTTAACTAATTTAGAAGACAGATACGTGAATTGTCATGTATAAATATGACTCTTCTCTTTAAGTTGTGAGATATATACCCTTCTCAGCTCTCTTTCTTCTCAAATGAACTCAAAATTTCTCTAGAAATGTGGCTTACGTTTCTTTTCCTAGATTTGTAAGTGTCCCTTCAAATTCTCCTAGACTGGATTTCTTGTAATCTGAGCATATAGTAGAAATATCGGTTTGGAAAGCTAACCTACGTGATGTTGGAAATTTTAGTATAAATATTTATATTTTTACTAACTTTGGACATATATAAATTTATACATATGTTGTATATATAACTAACTCTAAGTAGGTTTGTGTTCTCTTCCGCGAGAACTTCGAAACGATATATTATATGTCCAAAATGGAGTATATGTGAATGAGATCTCGATACCCAAAGAATGGTATTTGAGAATAAATTTAGCAAAAAGAGATGAATGTGGGAATGAGTCCCACATTGGTAGAAATACCAAACTTAACAAGGTTTATAAGCTTGAATGCATGAAAGGCTTACAATCTTGTGTTTATGTTTTACTACAATTCCTACCCGCGCGCAGGGGGGTGTAAATCTTGGATTTCGTAGACCAAAAACACGTAAATCTTGGATTTCGTTGACCAAAAACACATCGAACTCGTGCATAGACACGAATGCGGCTCCGAAAACTCGGGCTCACGCTACCCCCGTTTTTTGATAAACTTGATGGTTTTGGTCCCTATTTTGATAGCGGTGTACCATCTCATTCAACACACACGAATGAAAATACTCTTCTTTCTCATCATTCTCTGTATTCCTGCTTCTGGCGAATCTTTCAGGCAAGTGAAATATCCGGCAGTACACCACTGTTGCAATTGTTGTACCCTGGGAACATACGACAAATCTGTTTAAGGGAATCGAGTCTAACCCAACCCTCAGCCACATCGTTTGCTACTAATATTTTTCTTTACATGAAACTTAGAGGAAAATGAACTCCTTAAAGTAACACGTGATCCATTGGAAATCCGAATCTCCACCACAACTCTTTTAAACTCTAAAACTTTATAAATCGGACCATCTTTCCTCTCAATCAAGTAAGTTAATTCTCAACGGTTTAACCCCTTTAAACCCTAACACTAAGGCAACTACTGCTCTTTTGAATTCCTTCGCCAAATCAATATATGATAATGCCATTTGAGCATAGTAAAATGCCATGAAATATCGCACATGCTTGTAGGTAATAGAATAGATGTTTTGATTTATGGCAAAAATGGCTTTTTGATCCATTGAGTTAAACAACTTGATTAAATCTACAAAGTCACTCGAATTTATAACATGAAAATCAGTAATGGTGAATTCTAATTCTTTATTATTCCTTCTTATGACCCTGTATTTGTAATTCTAAAAAGTATCTGAAAAATATATGTCTTTCAAAATGTTCAAAATTTTAACTGTCTTCTTTCAAAATCCAAACGTCTTTCTCATGTTTTACCCAATACACCATGGAATATGATTTTGAACTCATTAAAATCTTTTGTACTCATCTTATCTTCCCTCACTAAAAACAATATATGAGTGAATGCTTCCGGGGTTACTGGAAGGTCAAGTTGATTCTTTACAAAGTCTTCAACTAAATAGCTTATCAAAGGAACCTTGTTGAAAAACTCAACATCCTCATCTGCAATTTCTCTAATTGTTTCAACACACCATGTCTTGTCTACAGATCTTATCTCTATATTCTTATCCAACTTGCTTATTGCCGATAAATGTTGTTGTTTCACCCTTTCAAATTGTTCATACTCTAACATTTTCCTCTCCTCCTTACTTAGCTCTACAAGCTTTTCAATAGTATTAAAATTTCAGAAGTCTAAAGTTCCAACCAAATACAATAAAATCCTTTGTTCGATATGCAGTTAGATGATAGTTAGATTAGAACTTAATAATAGTTGCATAATAGTTGGATGATAATTAGATATGTATTAATAATCGCGTAATAGTTGGATTATAATTGGATATATTCAATTGGATGATATATATATATATATATATATATATATATATATATATATATATATATATCCAATTAAATGATAATTAGATATCCAATTGGATTTGATCAGTCGGTTTGGGATTAGATTTGGATGGTCATCCAAGAACCAAAAGATCCAATTTGGATATTGAAAATTTCAAAGCAATCAAATCTAATTACAATTAGATATTCAATATATGTTGGTAGGTAAATGGATTGGTCATTTTGAATTGGATCATTTTTTTAAGCACACCCTAAGTTTTGTGTGGGTTCTTAGTGTTGTGCCTTTTCCATGTTTTTTTTGTTTGTGTTTTAAGTTCATAAGGGTAGTCAATTACTTAGGTATAACACTATAAAATCATGACACTTTTTTAAAATACGTGATTTTTAGGTGACATGCAAATGGGGTGGGTTTAAACTTCCATGTGCGTATTCACTTCTTTCTTGTGTGCATTTATTTTGTCACTCTAATGAATACTATGTTTTTTATGGGGTTATGGTAGGTGGATTGGGGGGGGGGGGGGGGGTCGGAATAATCTTGTGGTTCTTGGTATTATGCCTCTTCTAACTCACTGAAGTGTATTTGGTGTGAGCATTTTTTCTCTTCTAAGGGTAGTAATTTTTACGATCTTGTTGTGAAGTTTGACACTACATCAAATGTGTGTCCTTGCATGTCATAAAAATGGGTGGGTGGTCCTTTGGTGTGTAGATAATTTTCCATGTTCAGTTGTAACATGTAAGTGTCTTTTGAAGATGAGACATCTATAATCTGTTTAACATTTGGCTTTCTCTCACTTTGTGAAGTTATTCATGGTTTGGTTTATCAAATTTGATATAGTTTGGATATGAAGGTGTCCTTTCAAGTGCTCAGGCTTGAAGGTTTGGGTTTTTATTTGACAAGGTCTACGAGTGGGTATTTTTTGGGATGGGTAGAATATTTTCCATTTTGGTTTTTTATGAACCAAGTGTTCAATTGTGTCAACATCATCTTTTGGAGCCCGATGAGATGTCATATTCTTGTGTGGAGGTATATGGATCATGGATAATGTATTGTTATTAGGATCTGCTCACACTTTGGGTTGAAATGTTATGTCCTTGATGTTGTTGTCTAAAGGCCCAAAACTCATTGTCTTTTATGTGATGCTGATGTTCGGTATCGTAGTGCGGCTATACATTAGTTTATATAGATATAAGAGTGTTATTTATGCATATGGTTCAAAACTATAATGCCTTGATTGGGTGATGTTTGAAAGTAATATATACAACACAGTTCGTCGTTATTTTTACTTTTGATCCAAAGTATAATGTCATTCATGGGTGTTATTGGTATATTACTTTTCTTAGTCCAAGTCTAGGCTCCTTGACTTGTACCGAGGATTCTTTGTTCATTTTTGTTGCACTTTTGTTCTTGTTTTAGGTTTTTCACTGTACTCAAATTCCATTATGGTCCAGCTCCATGTAGATTTTTTTCTTAATTTGATTTCTCTGCCTAAAAAAGTTGATATCCTCTAAAGATGTTCTTAAATTCAAACTAGGTGGGGAACCCTCGTATTGCGGGGGTCGGATGCGACAGGTCTTTCAGCAAAATTGAAATATGAACAAAATAAATTTACATTATAAGAATGACTTTTTAAAAAAACAAAAATTCCTATTTTTTACACATTCGTTTTCACTATATGATATAAAATGTTTGTTTTTTATATATATTCGTTTTAAAAAACAAAAATTACACCTTAAGACGGATTTGAACACAAAGTAACCAGGAAACCGTAACTATTCCGCACAAAATATGGGTACCGACATAAAATGACCTAAAGACGGATTTAAACACAAACACATAGACAGAGGACCATTTTTGTCAAAAGCCACATAAGTTTACTACTCCTAAAAAGTGTCCTCCTTTAATGTATATATAAGAATGTATGCAATAATTAGTCTCATATCTCGTTGTATAAATCGATCAAATGATCGAATACGACATCCACCCCCAAAGATTATTTTAAAGAATAACCTTCCAATACCAACACTTTATTACTATACAACTTAAAGGTCACAAATTAGATCAATTTAGATTATATTAAGTTGGTTGGTGTAGTTGGCATGTCACCCCTCATCCACCATTCACCAACTCGACACCATCTCCACACAACAACCTTAAATGAGTGCTCATCACTGGAAAAACAAAAGATTAAAAGAGAAGAAAAATGAAAGATTGTATGGTCGGTCGTGAAGGGGTTTAAAGGTCAACATGCCACCTCAACATCAAGGCTAACACATCACGACTAATAGCTAAGGGGTAGGAAATGAAAACCCTCAACCTCGTGATGTTGAGGCATGATGACCTTCTGTCTTTAACAAATATGATAATATATTTTGAAAACATTTGTAAAAGAAAAAGATCATATAGTCTCCTAAATCTATCTATCTATCTATCTATCTATCTATATATATATATATATATATATATATATATATATATATATATATATATACACACACACACACACACCGTGGATTAGGTTATAATATGGATGGACAACTATTATGAGAACGTGTGGACATTGCTATTCTATGAGAATTACTAACAAAATAGGTTGTAGAGCAATGTGAATACGTTCAACCTCATACAAGTCTCGCCATTTTCATGCGTTCTCACTAATTTTTATTCATTTTTGTTCTCGCACATCGTTTTTCACTTATTTTCATTCTTACGGAAGACGATTCAATAAACATTTTGACAACATGTGAATAATAATAATAATAATAATAATAATAATAATAATAAAAAATCTATAATAACCTTATAGACGATTTAATTAGTGAGAGTGTGCGATAATGATAATAGTTATGTAAGAATGAACGAATTCATATTATCAAACAATATATTTTCTTTGTCATTCTCATAAGAAAGTTTATATAGTCATTAATGACCAAATGCTTATTTAATATTTGTAGATCTTTTTTAAAAATGAACATAGGTCTGTTTACATATAGCAATTTTCGACGGTAGCCTAGCGGTAAGGAGTGACTCTCTCAAATAAGAGGTCATGGGTTCAAGTCCCATTAGGAGACATAGGTGATGTTTAGGATTAGATTAGGACTACGATAGTTTGTCATTTCAAATATATATATATATATATATATATATATATATATATATATATATATATATATATATATATATATATATATATATACACACACAACATTTTCTACTAGCACCTTGCTAGTTTTTTTAATGGTATTTGTGATTTGCTTTTCTAAATAAACAATATACAACAAACTTACAGATCGAAAATCGAAACGAAAAGTTCGGACGAATTAGGTAACAGGTCAAAATAGGTTTTGATGAAAACGGGTAACATTGTGGATTCAGCACCTCTTTTTGTATATTTTTAATAAATGATTAACATGTCAAATATAATTACGATGATAATATCGCTAAAACTAATCTAACTCGTTACTTATAAAGACCTAAATACATTTTAGAAAACATTCAGCTCCTTTGACTCATTTTATTTATTACTATTTTTCTTAATTATTAATATTTTTTGGAAAAGATTTTGAGGACCCAATAATCAAATCATAATGAAACATAAATGGGTTTACTGTTTAAATCCAAATATATATATTTTTAAACACCAAGGAAACAAAGTCCTTCCTTCACATGGATTTGTTTCTATAAATATCAAATAAGTTGTCACTAGTGAGTTGTGAATGATTGTAGTAGGTTTACATGGGCCCCAATGATTTGTGTATTATTTGCACAATCTGTATGCAAATATTTAAGGTTAAATACCATAAAAACCTTTAAGTTTATCAGTTTTGTCAATTTTATCTAAAGTTGTATTTTAGGTTCATTAATGCCTCAAATTTACATTTTTTTTTTTCAATTTTACCCTTCTTACAAACTTATTTGGTAAAACTGATTTTTTTTGTCAAACTTAAGGACTTTAACGAACTAAAAAACGAAAACCAAACTTAAAGGGTTTTATAAACCAAAAAAAAGGTAAAATCGAACATTTTGCCCAACTTAAGGACTTTAATAAACCAGAGGGTAAAATTGAAAAAAAAAAAAAAAAAAAAGTTGCAAAATCTGGTTTTAATGAACCTAAAAGCTGCAAAAGGATAAAACGGACAAAAACTTACAAATTTAAGGGTTTTTATGTCATTATCCCTATATTTAAATGGTTTCCATATAATAGTCGCATAAGAAAAAACTCTTGTTTTTCTTGTATACGATATGCAAAATTCAAAAGCGGACCACCAAAAATTCCCAAGTTAGATTCATAACTTTATGTTACATCTTGTTAAATAAATCATCCAATATATTTCAAACAAGACCGAAGAAGTCAAAATATGTACTCAATTGACATGAGAATCACGTTCCAAACCCAAAATACCCGGTCTAAATCAAATCCTTTCAGTTCTCTACCAGTTTAGCAGAGTTTTGAGTTATGTGATTAGAACAAAAATCATCCAATTGATCTCAAATATCATCATATCTATCTATATGTTTAATATGTATATATTTATAAGGACCCATAAAAAGTAGGGTTAGAGAGAATAGAGATGGGACCTAATTTTCACCAATGGCGCACGGAATGCAAGGAGGATCTTTTGCTTGGTCTTGAGGAGTGATTTTTTGCAAACATTGATCATGAAAAGTATGACCACACGGAAGAACAGCAACTGCTGGTGGTGCTGTAGGCTGGTATACTGCACCTTCTGATGTTAATGAAAGGTCCCTCTTGCATAGCAAGCATTTATATTTTGTCAATTCAGGAGGACTTGTCTCAGGATCTGGCATATTATAATCAAACAAATTACATTAGTTAGTAATTACCATGTCATATATATGAAGAAATAGTAAGAGTAAGAAACGCTAGTGTACCTTTCCATGTAATGTGAGAGACTGTAGGACTAGGAGCAGCTGTCACAGGAACACGAGGTTTAAAATTTGATGTGTAAGGTATAGAAGGATGCATAAGAGCACGAACACGTTGTTGAGTCTGTGATTGTGATTGTGATTGGTAGATTGGTATGGAAGGATGAACAAGAGCAGCTGGTTTTGTAGGGAATCGGATTGGCATAGAATGATGAGTAGTTGTTGGATGTGACATCTTCTGGCGTTGAACCCAATGGGGACCTGAAGGTGGGGCCACTGCACTTCTCTTGTGATATGGTCTTGCATAATACTCAGACTTCTTATTAGACAGACCATCAACAGAAGTGGTGGGAGCTTGTCCTCTAGGATTGTTTGGAAGCTGAACCATTTGAGATTGGCCTAGATAAGACCCAAAAAAAAAAAAAAAAAACATCAAATATGTATGCAATATATGATTATATCCAACTGTATTAGTGTACACTTGTCAGGTTTTTATTTACCATGACTGAAAAGGGGGCCTTGAGGAGTCAACGGATAACTGACAGGTGCTGCATCAATTCGATCTGATTGTCATAAAAACAATCTCAACAAATTAAGAAGAGAGCAAGTAGTCATACCAATAGAAGGTCGAACAACATTATCTGGATATTGACGTGTTTGACTTTGACCTGAAAATCAAAATTAATCTCACATGATAGTAAGATTTAACTTGTTGTCTATAACTGTATAAATTATAAAAACAGTCTATGTAACTCAGGATACCTGCACTAGTTGTCTGCAAGCTTATTTGTCTCTCAGCAGATTGCGGGCTATCTTTATCTCTCCCATTAACCTCAACTCCCAGCCTTTTTGGGAATGGGAGATCTGTTACACCGTGACCACTGCTAACCCAAGATACTTGGGTAGGCATGTGATTCTGTAAATACGGATGTTTTCCTACAAGAAAACATATTGATTCAATAAGGATAACCTAATCTAAACTGAAAACAATCACCTTGCTTACCTGCATAATTCTGTCTGGTAGAAGTAGAACCACTTCCAAGTTTGAGAGAAGAATTCATGGGACTCTCTGATGGTAGGGTGTTTGTAGTTTTGAAACGGATATTCTGTAGCTTCCCAGAAGGTGTATCACTTGTATGAGACAAGGGATATGAAGGCTTAGCAGATTCTTGCACTACCCTATTCAAACCATGTTGCTGGGAATTGAGGAATTGAGCTGAATTGCCACCAATTGTTCCTGAATGTACAGATTGATTACCTACAGAGACTCTATAATGATTCGCATCACCATAACCTGCATTCCTGCTGCTCAGAAAAGTTGAGTTGCTATCATCATGCCTAGAAATGCCATGCTGCATATCATTTTGTTGCATTTCTAAAATATGATAAGGGCTAGAACCTGGCCCACTATTTGGAGTGCAATGAACTCCAACCTCATTTCCAGTTGAGGTTATTCGATCCAATTGATTAGAGAAACCACTAGTGCTTCTCTGGAAACCTGGAAAGTTAGCATTTAAAGTTTGACCCATAGCTTTCCTAGCACGAGCCATTTTTAACTCAGCTGAAGCTGCTTCTTTTAGCTTGTCAGAAGTCTCTCTGCTGCCTGGTTGAGAGGTAGGTATGGCTTCTTCAGTGCCTCCAATTCCAAGACTCAGGAAACTCCTCTCAACTTTTACTTGAACCCCACATTGACTGTTATTGAAGTTGACATTGGTTTGACTATGAATTGGTGCAGTGTCTCTAGGGCGATAATGGAAAGGCGAGTGAGCAAAATGTCCATCTAACTGTGGTCTATTAAAAGGTCCAAACTTTGATTCTCCAGCATGTCTGTTCATCTGAAGATCTCCAGCAAAGTTTCTAGCAGTAGTTGGATTCTTACTAGACCATGGGTTCTCAAAGTTACTAATGACAGCTCCATTGTTCATCCCACCAGCTGAAATGGCATTGTGTCCTTGATTGATAAACTGTGGACTCCATTTCGTGTTCCATTCAGGTACTAATGGAACTTCTTGAAGGTCTGTGTTTGCAGTACTGGAATTCAGGTTAAGTTGGGGGTTCTGGAAGCTACTAGGGTTCATGAGATAAGCCATCGGGTTTCCACTAGTTTCAGGCATCCTTTGGCTAATTGGCTGATTCACTGAATACATATTCTCCCAACCAGGGGAGATCAGGAGGGGTGAATCTGGGATGGACTCAATATGACCTGCAGAAACATTTGCTTCTTGAAAAGTCGCATTGCTGGTTGATTGTGTGTTTGGAGCAATGCAATTTGCTTGTATTAGTGGATTAGGAAAGGTAGGGGGTTGGTCCTTCTCATTTGTTCTTCTACTTCCCATCATCAGATGATTCTGTCAATGATTCACTAAAAATGAGAACAGCATAATCGCTATACATGTCTTTTAACTTAATAACCCAGAAAACACCATTTAATAATCACATTCACAATGTATTGACCAGTGAAGCGTACGTGTTTGTAGAATCTAATAATCTCATAAAGCCATCAGACCCCTAAATTAGGGTAATTAACCCCAAAAACACAAACAAAAACAAAACCCCCAACTAATAGAGATGAATTAGTAAATAGTCAAAACACACACAATCATGCATTCTTATTAAAATCATTTAGGGGAAAGAACATAAAAGAACGAGTAATAAAAGAGCAGAAACCCTTCCGATCATCAAGCTTCAAAAAAAGAACCCGAAACGCTTAAAGTATGAACTCTTAAACACCAACCAAGTCACATGATAGTGATGAATGCAAAACAAATTACAGCCACAGTTAGCTTAGGGACTACGAAACCTAACGATCGTCTGTTCATCAGAATCATCGAGCAACAAAAAAACAATAGCAATAAAAATCCGCTGGATGACGATCAGTTACTATACAAACGATCAACAACATAAATAGGCGACAATCAGAGCAGCACGGAGATGAAATTCAAGGGATAATCATAAATCACAGCTATTATATACAAATTCATAGATAAACAAACGATTGTAATAGTAAGGTTTGTACGTTCATACTTCCGAGTGATGGGAGCGAGTTCTTGATCGGGGAAGATGGAGAGAGAAAGAGAGAGAGGTGCTTTTTGGCGCTTAGGGCTGGATGGGAGTTTTAAAGGGTTCGGTGTGGGTCCAAAATTAGCTGATGTCAGAGGACATGTGGATCCATTAGGGGCAATGTGATGACGTGTCATAGTTCCCCTTTCATGACAGGCGGCAGAGGTTTAAGACACGAGATCACAAAACGACGCGCGTTTTAATGGATGGCAATATAGTAATTTCCTAGAATGCGCAAGGGTATTCGTCGGAAGATTCAAGATTGAATGTGAGATTTGAGAGTGTAATTAAAGGAGCGTTTGGATCGGGAATTATGTTGAAAATAACTTCAATTTTAACACCGAATTTGAAAGGAAATAAATTTTATCAGCAAAATTGAGTGCGAAAGATTTTGAATTCAAAGGAATTAAATTTTTGTTACTTATTTAGTGGAAAAACTATATAAATTCAATTTTAATAATTTTGTATATTGGTAGTAAATTATGGGTTTTACCGTGCACAATGTAGCGAAACCCTTGTGTTGGAATGAAACAAATGATGCAAATATAAAAATACATGAAAATGAAATGTTAGGAAAAAAAAAAACCTTGTGTTGTTCTGTAATACGCAATAAATTATGGCCCAAGTAAATTGAAGAGTTCAGCCCACGACTTAGTCTCTCACGTGTCTTTTAACGTGCCTTATTTACTTGCTTATTTCATGTATTTTCTGTTAAATTTCTTTGTATATAAATTGAGTTGTATGGTCCTGTTTAAAGTAAGGAAGAAAAGTCTGTCTTTTATGGTATCAGAGCGCCAGCCCTTCTTCTTCCCCTTTACAAATTCTCGTCAATGGCAGGAATATTGTCATTAGCACACTCCAATACTCTCCTCAATTTTCAAATACCACCTATTGGTGTAAAACTTAATAGAGAAAATTACTCCTTGTGGAAAACAAATGTTATAACAACCCTAGAAACGTTTGGTCTTGAAACACACATCCTCGACCCTAAACCACTGTCGGAAACCCGTGTTGTTCCACCTACAGACACTGTACCTGCTTCGACCGAACCTAATCCCGACTTCAAAGCATGGAAGAAACGGGATCGCTACGTTCTTCTATGGTTGAAATCCACACTCTCAGAAAAAAGCTCTGGCTCTCGTCGCCCGTTCTACATCATCACAGATGGCATGGCTTACCATGGAGCGAACTTTCCGGTCACAAACTCAAGCCCGCCGGATGGCTATGAAGACTCAGTTACAGACCCTCTCAAAGGGATCTCTCTCTATGATGGAGTATATCGAGAAAAAGCGGGCCATCTCAGATTCTTTGGCAGAAAACCTCAAACCAGTCTCCGATGAAGATCTTATTTTTTACATTCTCACAGGTTTAGATTCATCATATGGTCCGTTTACTACAACTTTTATGATGAAGACTGAAGATAGCACGGTTGATGACCTCGTGGGTTTACTTTTACATGAGGAGGCACGTCTTGACCAAGAACATTCTCGCATGTCTACATCTGTTTCAGAATCCAATGATTCCACAACATTGATTGCAAACCGCTACCCACCCAGGTCCTCACCTTCAAAGACTGCCTCTTCTCCTTTCCAAAATCGCAGTCAGGACTCTAGGCGCAGACTTCAATGTCAGTTGTGTTCCAAGCTCGGCCATGAAGCAATCGATTGTTGGCATCGCATAAACCAAACCGCCTATCCTTCCCGACGCCCCCCTCTGAAGCGACAGATCAACTATGCTGCATACAACAGCCCTTCAACTGTCGTTGATCCATCTTGGTACTTTGACTCAAGTGCTACCGATCATGCTTCACCGGATCTAAATCGTCTTACTGTTGCCGAAAACTATCAAGGACCAGATAAAACTTCAAGTTGGGAATGGTAACAAAATGTCGATTTCTCATATTGGTTCATGTTCCCTTGATCATATTAAGTTGTCAAATGTCCTGATTGTCCCGAATCTTGCCAAACACTTACTTAGTGTTTATAGACTTACCAATGATAATAAAGTTTATCTTGAGTTTTGGCCTCATACTTGTCTTGTTAAGAACTTTCAGGGAAAGACCCTTCTCCGCGGGGATGTTAAAGATGGACTCTATCGGCTACCTTCTCTCTCCCATACTCAACCCAAGCTTGCTCTCACCGGTGTCCGCACCACTCTACATGGGTGGCACAAGAGGCTCGCTCACCCACATGAACCGTTATTACGCCGTTTGGTTTCTTCGTTCAAGCTGCCAATCACCTCAAATAAATTCCCAGCAATGTGTGACTCTTGTCCTCTTGGAAAGAGTTATCGTTTCCATCTGTCTAGTTCACATGTTGCTTCAAATAAATCATTTGCATTGATGTACTCTGATGTTTGGGGTCCTTCTCCCCTTTTTTCTATAAATGGACATCGCTATTTTTTGCTTTTTATTGATGATTGCACTAAATATGTTTGGATTTATTTCCTATCTCAAAAATCCCAAGTTCTCCCAACATTTATGCAGTTTCGAAAACTGATAAAAACACAATTTAATTGTGACATCAAATGTCTTCAAACCGATTGGGGTGGAGAATTTCGAAATGTCTCCACCTTCCTTCGCACACATGGCATTGACCATCGACTCTCTTGTCCGCACACTCCCGAACAAAACGGGGCCGTTGAACGTCGCAATCGCATTATTGTTGAAAAAGGCCTCACTCTTCTTGCCCAATCTTCTTTACCTCAACCATTTTGGGAACACGCTTTTCATACTGCCACATTCCTTCACAACCGCACCATCACTCCTACCCTTGCTTACAAATCCCCATATCAGCTTCTTTACAACCGTGACCCTGACTATACTTTTCTAAAAACCTTCGGTTGCCTTTGCTATCCGTTCTTACGACCATACACCTAACATAAATTAGATTTTCGTTCCCTTCCTTGTGTTTTTCTAGGCTACAGTACCTCTCACAAGGGCTACATTTGTTACCATAAACCGACTTCTCGCATCTACATTGCTCATCATGTTCTCTTTAATGAAGAAAATTTTCCATATCAACACCAGATTATCAACACTCAATCTTCTTCCTCTATACCTGATTCACCCATTTCTCCTCAACTTTTATCTCATGCAGCTTCCATTCCCATCTCTCCACCCTCACAAATCTCTCCTACTCCTTCCTCTACTCCCATTCCTTTCTCTCCCTCTACGCCACCTTCACCTAATCTTCCCCCAACACCCATGCAACCTCCTACCTCTTCCTCTCCCCATTATCAAACACCTACTATCAGCTCCACTGCCAAAGCCAAACCTGCTGCCCCCTCTTATTTTCGACCCGTTGCCACCTCCACTCACTCAATGCTTACCCGTGCTCGTACTCACTCTCTTCAACCCAAACAATTTTTTGTCTCCCTCTCCCCCTCTCCCCAAACCATTGAACCCCGTACCGTCTCTCAAGCTATCAAATATCCCCATTGGCAACTTGCTATGAAAATGGAATATGATGCTCTAATGAGAAATAAGACATGGTCCCTTGTTACCCGTCCTACTAACATCAATTTGGTTGGTTGTAAATGGATTTACAGGATCAAGAGGCGTTCCGATGGTTCCATCGAACGACACAAGGCTCGATTAGTGGCTCAAGGATTTAGTCAAGAGGAGGGTATTGACTATTTCGAGACCTTTAGTCCGGTTATCAAACCGACTACCATTCGCTTGGTTCTCTCCATTGCTCTCTTAAAAGGTTGGTGTCTACGCCAACTAGACATTAACAACGCCTTCCTAAACGGTGATCTTTCGGAAGAAGTTTATATGGCTCAACCTCGTGGCTTTGAAGACAAGTCCAAACCTCATCATGTTTGTCGGTTACACAAAGCTTTATATGGCTTAAAACAAGCCCCACGGGCATGGTTCACCAAGCTTAAACAATTCTTGGTCACAAATGGGTTTAGAGCATGCCAATCCGACACCTCCTTATTTGCCCACCACTCCGCAACTGTCACCATTTACATGCTGGTATACGTCGATGACGTAATAATCACGGGAAATGATGCGTCTATTGTGGCAAATTTTATTCGGAAACTTGATGCCACCTTTGGTCTACGTGACCTTGGCATACTGCATTACTTTTTAGGTCTTCATATCAAGAGCTCCGCAACAGGCCTTACTCTATCTCAAACCCAATATATTCAGGAAGTCATAAAACGATCCGATATGGCCTCTTCCAAATCTGTTTCTACTCCTGTTGATCCGGCTCTCAAATTACATTGTCTTGGTGACCCGTTTCCCGAACCCACAAAATACCGACAGATTGTTGGATCTCTCCAATATGCCACTATCACCCGACCCGATATTTCATTTGCAGTTAACCGGGTTTGTCAATACATGCATGCACCCACAACTCTTCATTAGCAAGCTGTAAAACGCATTCTTCGATACCTCAATGGGACTCTTTCTCATTGCCTTCATTTTTCACCCACCACCTCGTCCTCTTTACTTGCTTATTCGGATGCGGGGTGGATGACCGACTCAGATGATAGTCGTTCCCAATATGGGTTTGCTATTTTTCATGGATCGAATCTTATAAGTTGGACATCGCGCAAACAAAAAGTGGTTGCTCGTTCGAGTACGGAAGCAGAATATCGGTCTCTTGCCTATACAAGTGCAGAATTATTATGGCTTAAACAACTCATCTCTGACTTACGTGCTCCCATCAACAATCCTCCTCTGTTGCTGTGTGACAATGCAGGCACTATTTTTTTAACCAAGAACCCGGTTATAAGCACTCGTTCGAAACATATAGCCTTGGATTTCCACTTTGTTCGTGAACAAGTTGAAGATGGTCTTCTCAAAGTAAGCCATGTTTCTTCTCCAGATCAGTTTGCGGATATCTTTACTAAACCACTTGGAAAAGCACGAGTTGCTCATCTTCGTTCCAAGCTTCAAGTCCCACCCGCCCTTGAGCTTGCCCGAGGGTAATATGCAATAAATTATGGCCCAGGTAAATTGAAGAGTTCAGCCCACGACTTAGTCTCTCACGTGTCTTCTAACGTGCCTTATTTACTTGCTTATTTCATGTATTTTCTGTTAAATTTCTTTGTATATAAATTGAGCTGTATGCTCCTGTTTAAAGTAAGGAAGAAAA